GGGGTGCAGGTGCGGCGGGGAGAGGCCCCGGGAAGGGGGGGGACACACCTGCGGGGCAGGGGTAGGGAGTGCAGGGGCTGTGGGGCCTGGGAGGGCAAAGGGAGAGAGGGAGGGGTGGGGGGCCATCAGGTGTGGGAGTGTCACTCTGGGGGTATTGGGGGTGTAGAGGCAGGGAGGGAGCACGGAGGCACAGAGACGGACATGGAAACAGGGGCCAGCACAGAGTTTGGGGAGAGACTGCAGTGCGGAGCATAAAGGAGTGTAGGGAGGATGGGGACTGGGGTTGGGCAGAGGTTTGTGGTTCTGGAGCAAGGCTCTGGGTTCTGGGTCAATGCAGGGCTGGGGTATCGAGTGCAGGGGTGATAAAAAGGGCCCTTAAAGGTTGGGTGATGTAGGATGGTTATGGGGAGTTCCGCCCATGGGTGGCGAGAGCCCAGCGTGGGTCAGGAGTTGAGGTGCTGTCTGTGCCGAGTGTTGGGGTTGCTGCAGTGTGCGTGAGGGGGGCAAGATGAGTACGGCTTTTATCTGCCCACAGAAAACGGTGTATGGGGCCAACGTCATTGTGTTTGAAGGGATACTGGCTTTTGCAAACAAGGAGTTGCTGAAGGTATCGCTGCCTGATGCGGCTGGCGGCCCATCTCGGTGCGTGGCGTGGGAGGAGGCGTGCAGTGGTGTGCTGCAGGTGGGATGAGCACTGTCCTGGCCCAGCCCTCGGTGCTGCTGGGGCAGGGTGATGGCCGGGGGCTGCGGAGGGAGAGGTCACTCACCGCTTGCTGGCAGAGCACCTCCGTGTCAGAGGCTTCAGGGGAGGCAGCGCTGGATGCCATTGCTGTGGGTGGTCAGACCTGGCTGGGCTGTGGACGAGGGGAACAAGGCAGGACTGATGGGGGGCTGCATAGGGGGTGCTCACCCCTCCCAGTTTTCCAGCTCCTGGACATGAAAGTGTTTGTGGACACGGACTCTGATATCCGGCTGGTGCGGCGGCTGCAACGCGACATCATGGAACGTGGACGTGACATCGTGGGTGTCATCAAGCAATACAACAAGTTTGTGAAGCCAGCCTTCGAGCAGTACATCGAGCCAACCGTGCAGGTTGCCGACATCGTAGTGCCCAGGGGTGAGACTGCGCTGTGTTTGGCAGACCTGACCCGAGCATCAGGAGTGGGTGTCCTGGGATGGAGTTGGGTCAGCATGTGTCTGACCTGCCTTCTCCGCTCTCCTGTCAGGTGGGGAGAACTTTGTGGCCCTGGACCTCATTGTGCAGCATGTGCACAGCCAGCTGGAGAAGGTGAGGTGTGGTGGATTGCTGCTAACGCAGGCGAGGAGGATTCTGCACGCAGAGGGGAGGATGTGGCTGCTCACAGCCCTGTGCTCCTGGAGCACCCAGAGGCTCTTGGTGTTGCCTCTCTCTCTTTACAAAAGGTCTTAGCGCAGCTCTCAGGGTAGACAGAACTGCGACACGGGGGCTGGGGAAATGGAGACAGGTCTGGGTGCAGCACCTGCCCTGGCAGTGACGCCTGGCACTTGCGGTCTGGCATGGCCTCGTTCGCCTGCTGTCTCCCTCGGTCCCAGTCAGCTCTTCTGATCTCAGCTGTCCCTACCTCGCTTGCCGCTGGCTGCACCTCGGCAGCCCGCCCTTGCCTCCCAGCTGTGCCCAGCAGTGGTTTTCCTGCTCTTGGTTTAGCTCCAGGAGAAGGGGTGGGAGTGGACTGGGGCTGCCTGGTGGCTGTGCCTGGCCGGTGCAGTGACTGGGTGTCCTTTCTTTCCCCTTTTGCCACGCTGGATGACTCTGCTCTACCACCCAGCGCGAGATCACTGTCAGGTATGTGAGGACCCTGCCAGCCGCAGAGGGGCCGGTTCCTGGGCTGGGGGTGGAGGGCTGTCAGCACCCGCTTTTCTCTGAGTTCTGCCTCTCTTTCACGAGCGGTGTTCCCTAGGGCTCAGTTTTGGGGCCGGTCTTGTTCAATATCTTTATCAATGATCTGGATGGGGGGATCGAGTGCGCCCTCAGTCAGTTTGCAGACGACACCAAGTTGGGCGGGAGCGTTGATCTGCTCGAGGGTAGGAAGGCTCTGCAGAGGGACCTGGACAGGCTGGATCGATGGGCCCAGGCCAACTGGATGAGGTTCAACAAGGCCAAGTGCCGGGTCCTGCACTTTGGCCACAACAACCCCATGCAGCGCTACAGGCTTGGGGAAGAGTGGCTGGAAAGCTGCCTGGCGGAAAAGGACCTGGGGGTGCTGGTCGACAGCCGGCTGAACATGAGCCGGCAGTGCGCCC